ATTAACGATAAAATTTATAACTGATGTAATTTTATCAGATCAACATTTGGTCCATCGACCCGGATTTGAACGAGTAATTGTAAAAAAAAAAAAAAAAGTGCGTTTTATTTTGTTGTTGTTTTTTAAGTATACCATCATACCATTATAAGTATAACCCAATTGAATTAATTTGGGCTCAAGTAAGGGCCAAGTAGCGAAATTTAACAATGCTTTTAAAATGATTGATATTGAACGGTTAAGACACGACGCATTAGATGCAGATACAATAGACGACTGAAAGAAATGCGTTCGTCATGCAAAAGTAATTCTGAACGAAGACAACAAAAAAAGAAATAATGAGGGATACTATCATGGAACCAATAATTATAACCATAATACCAGATGACAGCAACTACTCCAGTGTTAGTCACTCTGATGACGATGAACACCACGGATAAGATCTATGTATTAAATAATATTAAATTTAAAATTTTTTGTATTTTTTTTTTTAATTTTGTTTGTTATGTTTGGTTTGAATAAATGAATTGATTTATAAAATATTTTACAGTTATTTTGGTAAATTATTTTTTAACCCTTCCGGTCCTGATTTCTATCTAAAAATTCATAATGGTGTAAAAAAAAATAATTACAAATACGAATTGAAATGATTAATTCAAAAAACGCGGCAATTAATTTAATTACATTATGAACCACTTAGACGAAACGGCTGATAGGTTCGTGACGGTCATCGGCCACTTTTCATGTCGTGGATTATATTCTATGATTGAATAACAAAGTTAAATTTGAGTATATCTTAATTTGTATCTTAACATAAAAAACAAGATCTATAATATTTCAAAGAAAAAATTAATAAGATACAAGATATTAGTTATAATTTATCAAAGTTAAAAGATATATGACACTATATATTCCTGTTTGCAGGTATGATCACAGTATATTTATTACAATTATTGTTTTATAATAATTATTAATTCTATTATAAATATTTATTTATTTCAGTTAACACAAACACAAATAAAAGTTTTTAATATATATTTTAAGTAAAACAAATTTAACATAATTAAGTATAACCATATGAAATTCACAAGCATAATTAAAAAAAGTTAACACATAGCACAAAAATAAATTATTATATATTTACTAGTAGAGAAGTAGATGGTTCGTTTTGTAAAAAACTGTTCATTGGATTAATTTGATCAGATAAACTTCTAATACTATTCATTCTTAGATCAGCTTTAGAAAGAGGGGTATCTTCATTTTCAACAATCTTAAAATAAATACTATTTAAGACACAAGAAACCAATTAAAAAAATTAAAATTATAATTAATCATACTTATCTTATGGCTTCTATACAAAAATAATATGTACAACATGTATACCTTACAAACAAAAAAATATAATAGTTACCATACCCAAAAATAACCCATAGAGTTAATAATTAAATTAAAAAAAAAAAAACTTGTACAAAATGAAAAACAATCAATAGATCTTATGTAAAATATAGTTAAGTTAAATATGGAAATGATTATGTAACAAATTTTAACAAAATATTTTTTAATTAATGATAAACTAAAAAAACATATACATAATTATTAAGAAAATATACAATAAAATATAAATATGTAAGTTCTAGAAATTTATATAAAACAAAATCTCCGTAAGAATAATGATCTTTTTTAATGATAACTTGATAACTTATCATTGATAAGTGAAAATATGAAGTTATTCAATAAATTGGGGCCAACATTTTCAAGAATTATAGTATTATAAATTATGTTACCGTCAATGTTAATAATCAATTGTCAATAGTGATTAGTCATTGTTGATAATGGGTGATTCAATAAGCAAAGTTGATTAACTAAACCTAATAGAAGCATATATAAAATTATTTAATTGAGTCAAAATAAGAAAAATTTCATTTATATTTAAATTAAATTAAAAAATCATAGTTAAAAATAATAAAAAAAATATAACATCTTTGATATTTTATGACATTTAATACACAATAACAGTGTATTATATTAATTAAAATTATATATATAATAATAATAATATAAATATATTAACTTAATAAAATGTGAGGAGGCAATAATAATTATAATGTTCCCTTACATTTAATTTAGTTTTATAATAATTTGATTCACACAATAAACACTTTACCAAAATATTGTACGCAAAAATTTTTTGAATAAAATTTGACAGAAAGTGTGATACAATAAAATTTTTTATTTATCAAATTAACAAAATAATATAGTAAGTTTCATAACGAAAAATCAATAACTAAATTAGGAAACACTGATAAATTACATTGATTAAATGTACCAATCAATTATAAAAGTATGAATATTGCCTATGAATAGTATGCATTGACATTAATGATGTTGTTTGGTTATTATCCACATTAACAACATTTCCAACATAGACGGTAACATAAATATTATATAGTATATAAATCAAAAATAAATTTAAGACATCAACAATAAGTATTGTTTCTAATTTGATTAGATGGCTTTACCATTCTCGATCCATCTTTCAACTGAACGGCAATGTGTCTTCCTGGAATAAGTTGTAAACCAATAAATTCACCGACATATTTGCAAATATTTGACATCCATTGAAGAACTCGAGCCTTTGAACATTGAAATGCAATATTTCTTCCTTCGTGGTACTATGTAACAAAATAAAAATGCTTGTCATAAATATTAGACATAAGTTAAAAATCAATCTTTATATTTAATGAGTTCAGTGATTATTTATTTAATTTATATCAATATAAATAAATTGGTATGATTGATAAATTGATAACATAAATGCTGTTTAGCTCCCAAGCAATCTTAAACAATTTTTTCCTTCAATTTGTATGTTTTTGCATATATAATAAGTTTCAAAAAAGTTAGCTGAACTTGTTTTAGATGTTATAATAAAAAAACTTCAAAATGCTTGATTTTTGAAAAATTAAAATTATTGAAATTTTTTTTTTAAATATGAATTTTTTTATGTTAGACATTAAAGTAAAATCAAAAATTTCCTATGTTAATTATTTTTTTATGCTTTGAATCTATTCTATTACACCTGATTTGATTTTTCATAGCAAATCTAGAATAGTTATTGATTTTATTGGACTCATGTGGCTTTGTTGATGTATATACAAATGGCGATCATCAAACTGAAATATCTCCATGTTGCACAGCAAGTCGAGGAATATTTACAATTTCTGGATTATATTTAATTAAAATTAGTTTTAGTTATATATATAATATATACAACTATATAACTTACATGTTGAACATGCGTAATATATTTTACCCATATGTATAATTTGATCGCCTAATTTGGTTATACATTAGTAGGTTAAATATAATAATTATATATAATTTTATATTCATTACATGAACATTGAAGAAAATGAATGACAGAATTTAATTATAGTATAGGGCACTGATAAATAATCATTAACAGCAAATAATGCAATATATATATAATAATTATGCGATTAGCAAAAAAACGAAATTCTTAGTACAAAGTCAGATAAACAGAATTGTATTAATTTATTAAAATTGCTCTTCATTTTACAGATATTAAAGACCTAAACGCCAAAGAATCATTTCTTTAGCAGTAATTGAAAAATTGCAGTCATGTTAGATGTTAGATGATCTTAAATTATGTGTGAAAGCAAATTCCATTGATGATTTAGATGTCGAAAATATTTAAAAAAAAAAAAAGGGCTAAAAATAGCTTAGGAGTTAAACTGCATTTGTTCCAAATTAAATAAAAAATATTGAACAACTCTACCTATAAGAATTATAAAATCTATCAATGAAAATATTATGTTAAACATAATAACAGATCCTGATAAGAGGTTAAATTTAAAATAAGGCTACTTTAAAAACTTGCCAACAAGTGGCTACTTTTATTCAAAAAAATGCAATCAAATTAATTACATTATATATTTTAGCGAAATAATTTAACTTTTCGTTTTATTGTTACTGGCATTATTATAATCCAAATTTAAAGAATTAATATCCATATATTTAACTTACTGTACAACCAAGGCCATACCCATACAAACCAGTTTTTAAAATATCATGGGTTGTCAATCCTGTTATTATACTTCGACTATCCAAATTCATTTTTGTTTTCTTTGTTATCTCAAATAATAATCGCTCAACACTTCCAATCTTGAAAATTGATTTGTAATTCAACAGATCATCTAGAGTTAAATATTTATATTATTACTATAAAACTAGTTATAAGTGAATAAAAATAAAATAAAAGATACTTCAAATATAAATAATGTATGATATTTTTAACTTTTCTAAATTGAAAATGTATGAAATTGAATGAAATCAGTTTTATTTAAAAAAAAAAGTATTTATTATATTGAAATTAACAGAATATAATTAATTGTAGTGGACATTTTTTGTACATTTAAGATATTATTATTAATAATTAAAATATAACTATCTAATAGAAAATAGAAAAAATAATATTATCAATGGATTTATATGAATGTTTTAAATTTTACGCTAATGGAGTTTATTCTGTTACAATTTACATTCACACATTATTTATGATTTAATTTAATTTTAAAAATAAATATTTTTTGAGACATGTATTTAACTTTATGTAATTTAATAGAATGGTTATAATAAATATATATATATAGTTTTGACGAAATTGTAATAATCATAATTAAAAATAAAAATCAAATAGATTATTCAAAATATTTTAGATATACTTAATAGAAATAATATTATATTAAATTGGTAGGTTTTCAAATAATATGATTTATTTAATTAAAATAAATACATAAAATATCCCAACTTATTTTAATAACTACCTATAATGTTACAAGTTATAGTTGACATAGCACGATTATCAGAAATTTTTACGATAGATAAATTGTAAATTTTACATATTATAATAATAATAAGGTATATGTAAAAAAATTAATTTTTGAATAGATAAAACTAAATATTTTTTTTTTTTTTTTAATGATTTTATATTTTAAATATTTATGCTTAATTATATATACAAATGATAATATTCATGATCCTGACACTTTTGGTTTAATTGTAATACTTAGAAGAAAAATTAACTAGAATATTAAAATAATTCTCTTACAAAATTTTTATTTTATTGCCACTCAAATTTAAATTAATTAAAATTGTGTTATATAATACTGATTTGACTTACGTTCTGGAAAAACTGTTTGGTAAAGTCTTTCCAAACTATTTTTAGTTTTCATCATATCTAGACCTATTTCTGTCTCTACAGTGAACATGCAAGGTAAATCTAATGTACTATCATTTAAATCGGAAATTTCTTCATCCTGGAAACATATTGCAACAATTTACAATAATACATTAACAATTTCATTGCAAATATATTACTTTTAAAAAGTTTATAAAATCTGACAATATTTTCTTATAGTTTTCAGGGTGATTTTTATCCCAACAATCTATTTGATGAAATTTGTCTGAATACTCCCGCATGCCACCAGCAAAACCTCTAGGATAATTGTTGGCTATAATAAGATAAAACAAAATATAAAAACTAATTTTATTTTAACTAAGTGAATATTAAATATTATTTAGTTTTGTTTTACATAGTTAATATATAAATTATACATTTTAGACATTGGTGGTATCTTTATCAGACTATTGTTCCAAATCAATATTATTTTAAAATACTCACCAAGGCCAACAATTTGATGATATGTATGCAAAACTCCTTTAGATAAATTAAATTTTAATGCTGCTATTTCAGCTGGAAAATAATATTTTTCTGCTTCATGAGCATGACAATTGACATGTAATAAAATGAACTTTGTATTTAATAATTCTGAAACATTAAAAATATATTTTATTTTAATTTACAGTTATTAAAATGTATACAAACAATATATTTATTAGTAATCTCATGCATTCAAAAATTAAAGTGAGTTTAGAACAGATTAATTTCTCTAAAATACTGACAAAATTTAAAATAATTTTGTGTGTATAGTATTTTGCTTATAACGCCCTACATAATTTTAGCATATCACTGGTCCAATCTGTATTAGATCACATATAGAACTCTTACAAGTTAATCAATTAATTGGAATAACAAACATATTTGTGTTATAAAAACATATATAGAACAATCATTCTCATAAAACGAATATTTTATCCAGAAAAAGTGTGTAAGTAAAATATTAATTATGTGTTTTTAGAAAACAAAAAAAACACATTTAAGTAAATCAACATACTAAATTATTTTTACCTTCTTCAGATATTGATTCAAACATATTTTCTAAATATTCTTTCATTTTCCAATAATCTGAACTATTATTGTGAAGAGTAATAATCTGTTCTGGGTTTTTTTTTTCCTTCCGTTTAGAATTTAATTTATCAGCAAATATTTTGTACTTATTCTTTTCATTATCAGACATTGACTATAAAAGAATAATAATAAAAACAATTTATTTATAAGATTAACCTAATTTACAAGATTAATGTTGTGACTTTTACATAACCCGAGTCTAACCTTAAGGTTCTAATATTACTTTTGGAATAGTTGATGATGTGTACTCAAAATTTCATTATAACTAAATTGCCATATATACTAATAATTAATACATTCATATTAATTTATTAGATAAAACTATTATTACTTACATTCCATATTGGTGTTAACTTATCAGCTAATTGTTGAAAACTGAAAGATATGTTTTGATCGATCATTTGTTCCTTTTGATATTCAGTCACAAAAGCAAAAAAAGCATTTTTCTTTGGGGACATATTTATTCCTAAAAAACAAAATAATACAAACAATTATATATTAATTAATAATTACACACAAATTATTTATTGGTTACCAGATATGTTTTAGAATATCCCCAAATATTATAATTTATTATAATTTATTTATTTTTATTTTTATTTTATACAGTTAAGTATCCTATTACATATATATTTTATTTTAATTTTATTTATAAAAATGCTTTTTTTTTTGTGTCTATATATGTCAATAATTAGTAATTTTTTGTAAAAGGACTTTTGCCCTTTGATTATTCAAATAAACAAATAAAAAATAAAAAAAAACAAGCTTAATTTCTTACACAAATAAATAACTTTTTTGAGACCTCTTATTTTTTCAGTTATAATTGTTTGATTGATGATCATAAATATTGATAATGACACTTATTAACTATCTTAATAACATCAAACAAATGTATTTATACTATACATTATAAATTAAAATTGAATTGAAATAGTCTTCAATGACAAAATATTATCTTTTTAACAATAAAATATCAAATTAATTAAAATTAAATGAAAATTAATTAAAAAGTAAACATGTTATTTCTAAATATATGCTTAAATATCCTGAGTTAACTGGCTTAATTACTGATATGCTATCAATTAGTTGTTGACCGTAAATTGAGTAAAATCTACATTGTCAAAACAACAAATAGTATGTAAAAATATGGTTAGCATTCTAGTTTTAACATTTACCATATTTTTA